GTGGCTTCAGTTCCAGGTAAAAAAGGGTCTCTATCAGTCCAGTAAGTCTGTTTTTTTCTTATGAGTTTGAATTTTGTTCTTTATTTTCCTCCCATCCTATCCATGATGTTCTATTGGTCTCTAGTCAGAGTGGTTGGTAGTGGTAGCTGGCCACCATCTAGTTCTGGTCTCAGGCTAGAGGAGGCATATTTGTTAATTAAGAAAAGTTATATTAACTACCTAGAAAATCTATGCCTGAAGGGCCATGTATCCTTCCTCTAGGATTTATATACCTTCTGCATTTCCCATACATCCACTCCTTACTCATCAACAACATGGATAGGTTCCAAAGACCAGGTCATTATGTGAAAATCAGTGTTAATGCAGAACTTTAACAACCAAATTCTCCTAAGGCTCCAGGAGTCATTTCAGAGGTCTCTCCCCTGCAGCCTCCATCTGCCCTCTTTTGACTCTGCCAGTGACTTCTGCTGGGACTTCATACTTGAGGCAGGCTGGTCGGCTTGTGCCATTTCAAATCATAGGCAGAGCTGACTGGGTCAGGATTTGCAGCCAGGAGGGGATCTGCCACATCTAGACCCATGAGGAGTTCTTGCTCTCCACAGAAGTGCCAACTGTATCCTCAGTGCACAAGTGTTGGATCTCAGAGTCTGTGCCCCTCTGCCACATTCTCGCAGACTACCAACTGGAAGCCTCAGCTCCACTGGGAAGGCGTGGCAGAATCAGCCTGTGGGCCCAGCTAGGATGGAGGTAGGCAGTGAGCACATGTGCAGGTTAATTGCCCAGAATCTGGCCTTCCCATTCCCCCCCTTTAACTCTATGTGCATTCAAGGTTGGGGGGAGAGATGTGAGATGGGAGGCATTAAGGACTTGGGGCTCAGGAGGGAGGCATTCCTTCACTCAAATCATATGGGTCCTAACCTGGCTTTAAGGTGATTTAAGTAGATTTATTTTCTATTGCCTTAAATGCACAATGTCTGATAACAGGACAGTGGACAAGTGAGAAGTAGAGGTAATGTTTACACTAAATGTGGAAAGAAGTGCTAGTGAATGGAAAGAAGTGCTTTCAGTGGAAAGCAAGTATCTTTGATAGGGGTTTTCTAGGCTCTCTATATAAATTCAAGTACAGCATAAAGACAGAGAGAAGATGTTAAAACTGCCTTGCTAGCTCATTTGGCATTTGAACATCATCTCCAACCTACCAGCGATTCATTTATCCCAAGCCTCCTGCAAGCATTTAGACACAAGGGTTCACACCAGACATACATCTCTCTGTCCTTTCCACTTAACTCTCAGCATCTTTCACGAAATAGTGCTGAGGACACAACTGCTTAGGCAGCAAAATCTCTATAAAACCATCTCTATAAGGAGGGAGAAGAAAGCCCAATTTTATCACTTTTCTGTCTGGAGGCCTCAAAGATGTTTCACAGTTTCCTCATAATAGGGGACATTAGGTCAAAAGCGTTCAAAACAGAATATACCTGGATTTAATAAATTTGCATTTAAGTTTTCAAATTAATTATAAGAACAAACATTTTCCTTGTTGTTACTAGGGTGCATATGTGGAATGGCTACAAAATTGCAGTATTCTAAGAAAGTAAGAACCAAAATTTACACAGCATAACATGCAGTATCTGTGATGAGAGATTATGATGAAAGAGGGGGTTAATCTCAGAAGGGGGAAAGAACTCAATGCAAAAAGAAGAACAGAACATATGTGTACATATGAAATAGCACAAGGGGTCTGGTATGGACAGGAGGCAGGTTCACAGAGTATGAGGCTAAAGAGATAATGGGATAGACAGATCATAAAGGTGTGCATGTTGCTAAGATAAGGAATACAGATTTTATCTTACAGACGAATGAGCAAGAGAATAATTTGAACTGCTGAGTGGTCAAATTTGCCATGAGAATCATGATTCTGCAGCAATACAAAGACAACTCAATCATAAAATGGGCAAAAGGACTTAAACAGACATTTCACCAAAGAGGACATTCAAATGGCTACCAAAAACATGAGAAGATGCTCTGCTTCATTAGCCATTAGAAAGATGCAAATTAAAACCACAATGAGACACTATTTCACTCCTACTAGCATGGCTAAGTTAAAACACACATACACACATACACACACACACACAGAGAAACAGAAAATAACAAATGTTGGCAAAGATGTGGGAAAATTGGAACACTTATCCATTGCTGGTGGGAATGCAAAATAGTACCGCTCTTGTGGAAAATAGTGTGGCAGTGCCTCAAAAAACTAAAAATAGAAGTACTACAGGACCTAGAAATTCCACTCCTAGGGATAAACCCTCAAAATCTGAAAGTAGAGACTCAAAAAAGAGACTTGTACATCAATGTTCATTGCAGTACTATGCTAATAGCCAAAAGGTGGAAACCAGCTAAATGTCCATCAACAGACGAATGGATAACAAAATGTGGTAGATACAGCCAAAGGAATACTACTCAGCTGGTAGGAGAAATGAAGTCTTGATATATGCTATAATATAAATGGAACTTGAAGTCATTATGCTGAGCGAAATAAGCCAATCACAAAAGGACAAATAGTGTATGACCTCACTTATATAAAAAGATAAGAAAAGGCAAATGTATAGCGCAGACTAAAGTTTATTAGTAGTAGTTACCAAAGATGAGAGGGAGGGTGAAAAGGGGGATAATGATGATGGAAAGATTGCATTTATTAAGGCAGAGTTGTATAGCCAATTACTGTAGTTGCTGTCAGTAAGTTGTACATACGTAAAAAGTTGACTTGGTAAGAGTTGTGTGATAGATACACTTACAGCAATGACAAAACAAAACAAAAAAAATGTAGCTGCTGAGGCTGTTTATGTACAACCAAACACCTCAAGGGATTTGGTTCCTTGGTTTGGAGGTTTAGAATCATGGTTTCATGAGACATCCCAGCTAATTGGCCTAAGTACGTGTTTAATGATTCTGTTCTACCTTGTTTATTGCATAGTGTGTGGGGTCTTAAAAGCTTGCAAGTGGCCATCCAAGGCATAAGAATTGGTGTCTATTTACCTGGAGCGACCCAGGAAGAAGGCGAGTCAGGAATAGTAGGAGGATGTGGAATATGTGTCTAATTGCCTCCATGAACAACTGTCTCCTTTGACATGACACCAGAAGAAATGGATGTTGCTCAGCTACTGTTACTGAAAATTTTGATCATAGATTCTATAGAAGGATCCTAATCAAAAGGGAGAAAATGCAGAACAGAATTTTAAATTCTCATGGACTCTAGACTTTCTAGAGCCATGGGCATGGGGAAGAAACCCTGAAATTATTGCCCTAAGATAATTTTAAATCTTAAATCAAAAATATATCTTGAAGTCACCTTAAAACTGAACAGTAGTTTAGCTTAGCTAGTGAAAAAAGATCTGCCGTGAGCATTATATTCTTTTAAGAACTATCTGTATAGGATCAAATTGACTACCACAACCTGAAAGATTAGCTAGGAACCTTAGGGAGCAGTAAATTTATGTTAATGAGGGAGGAACAATTCTGAAAAGAAGGGTGAGTATAGTTGCACAATTATCAACTGTACATGTAGAAACTGTTGAATTCATGTATTTTTTTTTTTTTTTTTTGCTGTGTATATATTCTCAACAACAATCAAATTTATAAATCTTGGGGGTGGGGAACCTAAGGAAAAAAAATCATAATTATGAAGGTAGGATGGCAGAAGATGAGTTAGGGATCAGTGTGCCATTCCAGAAGAGAGAATGGTGGAAGTGGAGCATCAGGGAGTCAAGTCAGGAGGGATTAACCAATGGGTTGGTTAATCATCATTAGTCACTGAATCAGTTGCTACCCAAAGTGACCTCATGGGTGTTGAAGTAGAACTGGGCTTGATAGGGTTTTTAAAAGGTGATTTCTCAGAGGTAGATTTCCAGATCTTTGTTTTGAAGCACCTCTGAATGGACTCAACTTTTTGGTTAGCAACTTTTCAGTTAGTTGGGGAAGGATATCGTGTGTGGTAAAGTAGAGAGTTAGTGAAAAAGGGGAAGACCCTCAACAAGATCGACTGACACAGTGGCTGCAATGATGGGCTCAAGCATAGCAAGGATTGTGAGGATGGCGCAGGACTGGGCAGTGTTTCTTTCTGTTGTACATAGGGTCACTGTGAGTCAGAGCTGACTCAAGGGCACCTAACAACAATTACAAAAGCTATGAACATCCAATGATTTTTTTAAAATACGTTTTAATTAGTTCTTAAAACACTCCTTGACCAATCAGTAACCCTATTTTATCTACAAAGACATTGAGTGATGGATGGAACCAACGCAAGATTAAAAGTTTGTTATATCTGATTTACAGAGTGATGAAAATGTGAAAAATGCATGCATGTTAGGAAAGACTTAATAGGTATAATGCATTATAAACTCAATCAGTGCACGATGTGGGAAAGGGGAGCCAAATGTGGAACTGATTGGTGATTCTGTTAGTTTTGGAAAAAGTGCTCTTTTCCTTATACTCTATCTTAGACTCTATACTCTAATAGAGTCTCTCTGTATTTGAAGAAATGAAAAGTCTAGAATGTGGCAGAAATAAGTAAACTTCTTAGTTCCTGATTTTCATTTCCTGTGTAACATGGGCAGAGGTGAAGTTCGGCAGAGTGGACACAATGCAGTAAAATCCCTGTGGTCCTTCCGCCGCATTTCACTGCTATCTCCACATGGCTGAATGTGGCTTATCCATTTCCTTGCCTCTATGTGGACCTCTATAGCTATACAAAACTCGAAGAGCAGTTTCTCTCTTTCCCCTACATGAAGTTATTAAGTTGCCAGATTTTGAGTTACCATAAAGGAAAACTACATTTTACCACTGGTGGGGGGAAAATAGCAAGATTTGAAAACTAGCGCAAGATAAGGCCTTAAAACAGATTTTTTAAAAGATAGGGAAAAAATGACAAATATTTTGGAATAAAGTTTCTGATCATTTGACTAATGACTGTCTTTTTAAAACTTCTTCTTTTCTAGCTTCAGAATTATATCCAGGACAACATGAAAAAAGAAATGGTAGAGATCCAACAGAATGCAGTACAGAACCAGACTGCTGTGATGATAGAAATAGGAACTAACTTATTAAATCAAACAGCAGAACAGACACGGAAATTAACTGATGTTGAAGCACAAGTAAGCAATGAAGTATAAAACACATAATGGTTCAGCCAGCGAAATTTTAGCACTACATAGTGCTGTATAATTACGTAACAAAATAAAATTACTTAATTAAAATATACCAGTTGCCATCAGCTGGTTCTGACTCATGCATGTTGGAGCAGAACTATGCTCCCTAGTGCTGTCGATGGGTGACTTTTCTGGAAGATCACCAGGCCTTTCTTCCAAGTTGCCTCTGGTAGTCCTGAACCATCTATCTTTTGGTTAGCAGTAAAGCATGTTACCTGTTTGTACCACCCAGGGATACCTGTTAAAATATAGCTCCTATAAAATACTATAATATAAATTTTCCTCATCCTCATTGCTATTTTCCATCACATATCAACAGATTGAATTATATGCCTAATCCATTTTAAGGCTTTTGCTAAGTAGCTGCTGACTGGCTGAAATAGGTTTAAATTCAAATATAAAAAATTCTGATTAAAAGCAATATTCATCTACTCTGTGAAAATGAGATAATAGATAATTTAGTCATCTGCAGATGGATGTCTTGAGGCCCTCACAAAAGCATGATTCACATCAGAAAAGTGATGTAAAGAATATTGCAATTATTCCATGGGTCAGTATCTGGACGGGTACTCTATCCTCCTCTACACCTCTCCCTGCACCTCGAAAAAACAAAACTGTACTCATCTTATAGCCCTTATGAGCTACAGCAGGAGATCTGATCCACTTCCTTTTAGAAATGACCAACATAAAATGTTTGGGTCTAATTAATATAGGCCATATCTATATTCCAGTTGTTAACAGTAAAACTAAAACCATTATGTTGGTTTATTCATTCACAGAACAGTTTTCATGACATGAAACAACCAGTTTGACTAAGGGTCAGACCATCCTTAAAACTTCCATTGTCTCCATGTGACCAGGCCAAGGCATTCACTACTGACATAAAGACAACAAGAAAACAATGATTCTTTCAAGGACACATATTCTTTGGCAACAATTCTGATTTACACTTAAATGTGATATCACATCCTGAATAACCATTACCATGGAGGATGTGAGTAATCAATTCTTCCTGCCAAAAGGCAGCCAAACTCTAAAGAATTAGTCTTTAAAGTTGTTTGAATACAATACAATGAGAAAAGTAATACTGACAGTTATATATCAGGTATACAAAGCCAAACTGATCTTCCACTTTATATTGACATTTCACTGTCTCTACTTGATTGATAGGATTTTTTAAACTAGGATAAAGAAAAACAGAAAAGGAAAATGAAAGGCTAAGCAAATCCATCAAAACTAGGAAAGGTAGAAGAGAACTAAGTTGTATTTTTATACAATAGAAGCATGTGAATGCTAATCACTTCATCTTAAGTTACACAAAATACGAGAATAGCTTTTTTTTTTTTCAAGCAGAGGGAAAATCTTATTCATTCATGAACAATTCTTAGTATACCAAATATGATTATTTTATCTTCCCATTTGTCTCATTGTGTGAAATGATAAAATATGAAAGAACAAGAAAAATAACACGTGACACAAATATCATTGTGCAGACTATTAAACACTTCCCAAAATAAAGGTATGGTGAAAAAAAAAAACCCAGTATACCCTGATGGAACCCAGGACATTAAGCCTTTTCTGAAAAGGTAAAATAATGCCAAAATAAGATAGTTGGGTAAATGAATACTGTTTGTGTTTTCCCATAATTCAGGTAATTTAAGAGGAAGTTACATCTAATTAAAAATGATAAATAACAATTTCATTTTTTTACTTTTAGGTATTAAATCAGACAACAAGACTTGAACTTCAGCTTCTGGAACATTCCCTTTCTACAAACAAATTGGAAAAACAGATTTTGGATCAGACCAATGAAATAAACAAATTGCAAGATAAAAACAGGTAAAAAAAGTACAAAAAAAAAAAAATACAAAACTGTACACTTGCTAGAGCTGAAACATAGCTTTCCAAAGTGCTGAATTTCTTAATGTATAGTTTAAAAATTAGAAATCTGTGAGAGGAAGATCGGGAGGGAGTTTGGGATAAAACATTGAAATGGCAAGAACCTTCTAACATAATCTTCAATTTTGCCTTTTATTCTCTGGTCCCTTAAAGACTTTTTTTTACAGGGATGCCCCCGATAGTATGCATGTTAATTCTATTTAAAAAATACTGCTACTGTTGTGAAGTAAAAGGGCCACTTGCCTAGGCATTTTAGTATCAACTTTGCCAAGTTTCTTTGTGTTTGGGAACTTAATTTTTTCCACTGTAATATTGCCTATAGTAGGTAAAATATACTTAAATTATAAAGTAATATGTAACTGAAAATAAGTTTCATTACATAATACTTACTCTTAAAATATATGCTAAATAAAATAAATAATAAAAACAAAAATGTTATCAACATTTAAATATAGAATATCTTTCAAGATAAAAAAATGAAAAAATAATATAGGTGATAGGTAAGGACTGTTTTTATAGGTTCATTTCAGCCTGGATCATATGAGGACAATTTTATACACATACTTGAACTACTAGGCTTGCATATTTCCTTGTTTTTAATGAGAACATGTACAGAGTACATGTAGAATTGTCATAATAACAATATACTCTTTCTTTTTCATGATTTAAACAATGATTCTTAACAGATCATGATAAATTTACTGTCTTGTAATCATTCTTCATTGTAAATTAACAACTAAGCTGAAATAATTCTTTCTCTCTTTAGCTACCCAGTTGAACTAAATTATTGATTTAGTATTTTAAAAAGCAAATAGATTTTTAACCAAATATTTTTCTTTAATGTTTTAAATTTCTCTTCTGCAAAGTAATAAAGATTTGAAAGAGACACTTGAGATAAAACAATCTCTCAAATATAATTTGTTTTCTTTAATATGCTGCAGTATTCTGGTTACCTAGTGCTGCTCTGACAGGAATATACCACGAATGGGATGGCTTGAATAAACAGGAGTTTATTCTCTTACAGTTTGGAGGGTTTAACTCCAAGTTCAAAGTGGTCTAGGGGCTGTGTGAAAGGCCCTCAACCTTGGGCTTCAGTTCTGCTTCCTGCTCCCAGCCCACTGAAGCTAGAGGCTTTATTTCACTCAGCTGCTGGCTGCAGAGGCTGACAAGCTCAAGGTTGACAAGTAATAAGGCACAGTCCCGATGTAACCTAATCACACAGCAGGCCATTAATTCAAGTTCACTGAAAGTCCCAAGGTCAGCAGAGCATGGTAGGCTGCTGAACAACAATATGGCTACGTACAGGGTTCAAGCATGCCATAAACTAGAGACCGTTCTCCAAGGCTTCTCCTTATACACAGGAAGCAGACCACATCCATAAGGCAGCTACTCAGCTGTCCACAATAGATTCCACCATGAAGCTAATTACCAGTTTCATCATGGGGAATACTACATCCAGTTGCCCAGTCACTAAACCAGGCCTAGCCAAGCTGACACACAAACTTAACGTGTAGTAAGGTTGGGAACATATATTGGGTGCTTTTGTCTTGCTGGCAAAAATTTTAGTATGATAATATGTTAGAATGCTAAAATTATCAGTTAAATACATCAGTTACATTACCCAAACATCATCTTTGTATATATTTGTTAAATGATATTGTCTTTCTCTAGAAAACTGTAAATCTTATTCCTGAATTCAGACACACTGCTTAGTATTTTCCCTTGCGACAAGCAAACTTCGTTAGATAGTTACGTATTTTTAAAATGTTAGCTATTCAGTAAGTTCTTTGAAATGCACTCACTAACTTTCACCATACTTTTCAGACATTCCTATAATTTGGTGACATTTGTTTAAAAGTTAAAACTTCACAATATATAAAATATGATGCTAATCACACTTTCCTTTTTTTTTTTTTTTTGGTCATTCTTCTTGCTCTATTTATTACTTAAATCTTTTACATTTTTATCCAGTTTATTTCAACCAATAATGCACTTTTCCACTTTTTCAATAACTCTAATCTAGTTTTGAGTGAAATTATATTTAAGCATCAAAACATTTTCTCCAGAAAATCATCTTGTCAAAGATATCTAACAAACTATAATTTCATCCAGCTGCCAGCAGCAGTGTTCAAAAAATTAGACTGCAAAAATATAAATTATGCTGGAAGCATAAAAATTGCTTCTGAATGACCTATCATAGTACACATACTAAAAGGTACAGCTTCTATCAGTTGACTTACCATAAAAAATATGTAACCAATTTTTCCCTGCTAGAAGGATAATCTCTTATTAGCTGTAGAAACCACATTTTCTTTTGTCACAAATAAGAAGTGAAATATGACAATAATTAAGCTTTTCCATTAACATCTATAAATAATTAATAAAGATAAGAAAATCTGTATTCTGTACACATGATCCACTTCCTTTCTTGCACAACTTCTTACTATTGGTCATGATATGTGTTACAATATGCAAGGTTCCTGCTACAAATCTACACTGCATTCTGATCTGTTTTATTTTACTTATTTAATTTCAGTTCATAAAAAAAATTCTGGTTTCAATTCACTAATTTTATTTTACGAGCCACTATAGGGTCCCACTTTGCATTTTTAAAAATGCTGCTCTAGAATTTGATCCCTAGATTCTTTATAGCTGTAAACTGCAACGATATATGCTCCTGTGCTCATTTACATAGTACTACTGCTTTACGTAAAGTATCTGGGTGTCCCAAAACAGTTAAGTGCTCAACTACTTGCTGAAGTATTCTCTCTTAGAACCCACCCAGAGGAAACTTGGAAGACTGGGCTGGAGCTCTGCTTCCAAAAGATCACAGCCTTGACAATTCAATATAAAATAGAAAAATCTTTATGTACTTATTTTTAGATTATTTTCTTCTTATGACAAGTGATCTCGGCTTTATACTTAATTCAAGTCATCTCTTTTAAATAAGTCAGTCATCAAGAAAAATATTAATAGAATTGAATATAAATATGATCAGACTAATGAACGATGAATGCAAATGACAATATTTTACTAATTGATCATTTATTAAGTTGATATTTTGATAATATATTTATTGTCATATGATGAGTAACAGGGGGCTGGGATAAATTTAAGAGTAGCAACTGAAATTTTAATAATAATTATCAATACTTATTGCTGTTGCTTATATGCAAAATATAAATCCATAATTAGTTCCTTGGCTGGTTGATGTTATTTACAAGATTAAAGATTCAGAAAACGTTACTACCAACAATAAATAAATATATAAAAAGGGATAAAAGATTTATAGATTATTTTAACTAGAAGGGACTTCAGAGATCATCTAATTTGAACCCTTTATTTTAAATAGATAATCACTTGAGATCCAGAAAGAGGAAATATCCTGCACAAGGTACAGTTAGTCATAAGCAGAGGTAGAATTCTCAGTCCAAGGCTTTTTCCATTCTACTATAGGTTCCATTAGGAGCTCTGGTGGCATAGTGCCTAAGGCACTTGACTGCTAACCAGAAGGCTGGAGGTTCAAACCCACCAGTCATTCCTCAGAAGGAAGGTTAGGCAATCTACTTCTGTAGTGACACCGCCTCAGAAACCCAAGGAGGGGTCGCTATGAGTTGGGTCCCACTTGACAACACATAGCAACAACAACATAGGGTTCATTATGCTAAGGGTGACTTTACACTTTGGTTAATATATACATAGCTTTGCAATTTTAATTTACTGCTGCAAAGATCATCAAACTATTTGTACTTTTAGCATCTTGAGATTATGATTCATAATGGTTTCACCTGATCTTTCCCCAAAAATCTTAAAAGTCACTTTGCACATAGTAGTATTCAATAAATTTGTCAAAAGAATTAACAAATAAAAGAAAGGTAGGATGTGATCCAAACCTAACCCTGAGTCGCCTTTTACCACCATTCTGTGAAATACTGATACTGATTTAACACATTTTTGTGCCCCATGAAAGTAAGTAAATGAATGGGTTCAGGAGGCTGCAAATAATGCACAGTAGGATTATCTGCCTAGTCCACATTTTCCTCTTAAGCAAGTGGGTAAAATACATTTTTGGTGCCCTCAACAAATACCAAAAAAGTTTTAAACGGTTTGTGAATTTTATCCTAATTGCTGCAAGATTAACAGAGGCTGTAGTATTTGTTGTTGCTGGTGGGAACCAAAGAGTGGATTCTGACTCATAGTGACCCTATGTGACAGAGAAGAACTGCACCATAGAATTTTCTTGGCTGCAATCTTTATAGCAGATCCTCAGGTCTTTTTCCTTTGTTGTTGTTGTCATGTGCCGTCGAGTCGGCCCCGACTCATAGCGACCCCTCCTTGGTTTTCTGAGGCAGTAGCACTACGGAAGTAGATTGCCCCATCCTCCTTCTGAGGAGTGCTGGTGGGTTTGAACTGCCAGCCTTCTGGTTAGCAGTCAAGTGCCTTAGGCACTATGCTACCAGAGCTCCCTTTCCTTTGTTAGTGGCCTCAAAATAATTCTGAAACATGAAGATGACATCACTAATATAATTCGTAACCGAGAGAGAACTACTTACAGATGACTCAAAAAAGGGACTTCCTTTAAAACTAAATTTAGCAGTGGACAAATTCATTTCTACTAAACTCCAGATGAGGAAAAAAAAGTCAGAGATAGGATCTGACATTTTGCTCACTGCTTTGCTATCTTTGTTTCTACATCTTGCAGCTTTATTTACTGGCCTTACATAAACAGAATGAAGATCTTGAAGGGGCTTTGGTTGCTGGTTTTCTGTAGTTACCAGAGAAAGTCTCCTGTGTGCTGAGCCATGCAGTGGCTAAACAGAGAAAGCAAGCGTTACTGTCAAATGTTCTTGTATCTTGTTTAAAAGTTTGTCAAGTGCATTTATTGTGTACGTCTTTGGGTGCGCTCTTGGGAAGCAGTTAACATTCTTAAGTGTTTGGCATATGCATATACTTGGAAACATTTTCTCTAGCTTAGCAGACAGGAAACAACTAAATTAGTGCACTTTTAATTAAGCATATTTACATTAAATGTCTTTATAAATTAAAACTAGAAAGATAAACGACAGAACCATTAATAAAACCTTTTAGAAGTTATATAGCATAAATTTATCAGCTATTCCAAATAATTTTTGAAAAGCCTTTGAATGGGTTAGCTCACATTTTAAGAATTAAGTAGTAAGCACATGAAAATGCAGGTTAAATTTCTTAGAGAAGAAAGGGGTCTAAATTAGAAGAAAGACAGGGTTAGATTTTAGAGTCAGGAAGATCTGGGTTTGAATTCTACCTCTGCCACCAGCTGTGAGTAACTTTAGGCATATTGTCTTTAGGTTTCATTTAGGAGTCCTAGTGGTACAGTGGGAGCTCTGGTAGCATAGTGGCTAAGACACTTGCCTGCTAACCAGACGGCTGGCGGTTCAAACCCACCAGCCACTCCTCGGAAGGAAGGTTGGGCAATCCTACTTCCGTAGTGATACTGCCTCGGAAACCCAAGGAGGGGTCGCTATGAGTCGGGGTCGACTCGACGGCACATAACAACAACAACAACAACAGTGGTACAGTGGTTAAAGCACTCAACTGCTAACCAAAAGGTCAGCAGTTCAAATCCACAACTCTGTCTGAGGGAGGAAGATGTGGTAGTTGCTTCCATAAAGATTACAGCCTTAGAAGCCCTATGGGGCTGTTCTCCTCTGTCCTATGTGGTCACCATGAGCAGAATCTACTTGATGGTAGTGAATTTAGATTTTAATTGGAAATGGGGATAATACCATTGATATTAATTTTAGCTAACATTTTACTAAAAGCTACAGTGTGTTAAGAATCAGTCTAAACTTAAGTAGGTAGTATTATCATTTCCATTTTATCAATGAGGAAACAGATGCACAGAATGATTAAGTAAACTGTCCTAAGTCACAGGGTCTAGTGAGCTAGGATTTGAATCTGGACAAAGTACTTACCTCCTTCACAGAGGAATATTTGCCACATAGAATTAAAGCATTAGCTGTTATTATTATTAAGATTAATATTAAAATGTATATAATTTAGAAGAAAGCAAATATTCTACCCAAAGGTCCAGACTAACTCAAACACTTCCTTCTCAAAAACAGCACTTAAGGAGCAAGCACTACAGCTTGAAATGATATCACACCATTTTCTGAATCTTATAGCATCTAATATTTGTAGCACTCGTACAAATCACAGTTCACACTGAGATGCCTTTTTATGTGCATATATGTGTGTATGCACAAATATTTGTGTGTACAAAATATATACACACACACCCATATACACATACAACATTTTCAGCAAGTTTTATTTTCTTTACAGATATGGCAGCATGCTGTTACTTTATAACTCCTATAGCATCTTAAAAGAGTGCTTTAGAGAAACAGAGACACAATAAATATAAAATATTTCATTAGAATTATGAAAAGTATTACATTTCTATATTACACTTGACTTTTATGGTAATCAGAATACCGTTCACTAACAATTATTTTCCTTTACAAGTTTCCTAGAGAAGAAGGTCCTAGATATGGAAGACAAGCATGTAGTTCAACTACAATCAATAAAAGAAGACAAAGATCAGCTCAAAGTGTTAGTATCCAAGCAAAATTCCATTATTGAAGAGCTAGAAAAACAATTGGTGACTGCCACTACGAATCAGTCAGTTCTTCAAAAGCAGCAACATGATCTGATGGAGACAGTTCATAATTTATTGTCTCTGATGTCGACATCAAACTGTAAGTAAAGTTCACACATATTTTCCTTGGTTTTAATACTCTTTAGTAAGAATGAGTTCTGTTCCTAAGTCTGTCTTTAGGTCAAATTTGTATGTTAAGTCAGAACAGTTAGGTGTGGCTCATATCTAACGTCAGTTAGTCAAACATTTGTCATAGTGTATATATATATATATATATATATATATATATATATACTGTACTTTTTCATGCATAGAAAGCGTTAAAGAAACACTTCCAGATACACTAAGGCATCTTTAACATAATAATACAGTAAAAACAATAATAATGTTTTGATATCTGTCACAAAGTAGTGTCTATCTGTTGTATGTCTATCATTGTATGTACTCTGGATTTTTAATATAATAGGCTTTATAGGGGTTGATTCATAACTATGGGCTGTACATAAGTTGGATATTTGTAATCCGGGGACTGCCTGTATTTAATATAAAAAAATAAACCAAAAAAACCAAACTCATTGCCGTCGAGTCAAATCCGACTCATAGTGATCCCTCCTTGGGTTTCTGAGGCAGTATCACTACAGAAGTAGATTGCCTAAGGAGTGGCTGGTGGGTTTGAACCTTCTGGTTAGCAGTCAAATGTCTTAGGTACTACCCCACCAGAGCTACCGATATAAAAGAATACAGGTTCTCAATACAGAATCAATTAAGAAAAAGAGGAAAAGAAAGGGGAAAAATGAGGAGAAAATAAATCAATGTCTTAGAGTTGGCAAGCATATTCCTTAGTATTTAAACTGAATTTGTTTACTTATATTTGTCCATCAAGTTAGTTTATATTTATTTAATTATTATGTGGTAAAACAGCCCTCAAACATTTTTGATTCATGAGTAGGAAAGAGCCTACTTTGAGTTAGTTCCATCATTTACTAGATACATAAGGCTGGGCAAGTTATTAAACCATAATGAATCTTAGTTTATCTTTTAAATGGGGATAATAATACCACACTGTTGTGAAGATTAAATGAGATAATACTTAAAGTGACTGGCTAAAGAAATGTTATTGTTGTTGTTATGTGCCATTGAGTCAGACCCAACTCATTGTGACCCCTCCATAGTCTCCTTCAAATTCCACATCTTTAAATATATTTACCTTCCTTACTATTACATTTTAACCTTTCAAGTTCTCTTAAATGTTAAAAGAAGGGATGCATTTTTGGTCATGAACTAGAGATGTAATGTACAATTGTTACAGCATTTTTAATTTTATCTTTATTGTGATTTGGGTGAAAGTTTACAGAGCAAATTCATTTTCCATACAGCAGTTCATACACACTTTGTTTCACGACATTGACTGTAATTCCCCACAATGTAACAGCTCTCATCCCACTTCCTCCCTGTAGTTACCTCTTCTCTGTGTTCTTCTGTCCCATACACTCCTATACCCTGAGCTGTCTTCCTGTGCAAATACTGCCCTTCTGTTCTCCCATGATTGACTGCTCCAAGTAGTGTATCTACCTGATATAAATGTTCACCCCATATGCCTGTCTATTGTTTGGCTGGAAGCCACAGGAATGAGTTCAGTTCCAGACCTGAAGGGTGGCTAGGGGCTACAGTCTGAGTAATCTCACCAGGCTCCATCAGACCAACAAACCTGGTCTTTTTTTTCATGATTTTGAGTTTTTTTTTTTTTCCCACATTCTTCTCTCACTCTGTCCATGATCTCCTGTACTGATCCCCCTCTAAATGGTTGACAAATGGTAGCTGGGCACCATCTAGTTTTTCAGGTGTCATGGCCATATAGGGTGAGGATCACATGGTCTACCAGTCCCTTGGACTACTTGTTTCCATGTGTCTTTGGTTTTCTTCATTCTTCTTTGCTCTGGATGAGTAGAAACCCATCATTGTACCTAGATGGCTGCTTATAAGCTTTCAAGATCCCAATTGCTACTCACCAAAGTAGGATGTAGAACAATGTTTTTCGTATAGTATGTTATGCCAGTTGAGCTTAATGTAGCCTGTGACCATGGTCTCGAGCCCACAGGTCCAACTACTCGCTCCCTCTGGGTAGCTGGCTGTGACCAAGAAGCCACCAAAACCTTGCTGTTATGGCATTTTTATTTAAGTTCATTTTTTACATAAAAACTAACCTCACTGCCATAGAGTCAGATCCGACCCATGGAGACTGCTCCTTGGGTTTCCGAGGCGATATCACTACGGAAGTAGATTGCCCTATCTTCCGAGGAGTGGCTGATGGGTTTGAACCACCAGCCTTCTGATTAGCAGTCAAATGCCTTAGGAACTATATCACCAGAGCTGGGTCAAATTCCAACTATGGCTTATTTTATAATGTCACTTTAAGTTGTATTCTTTTAACAGATATACTTTGCATATTAAGGATGTAGAAATACTCCTCACTTGCATGAGAAATATGTTGTTCCCACATTTACTTAAGTTATGCCATTATGTCAGCTTTTTACTTTCTCAATTTTGATAGAAACAGCTTCTACTAAAATAAGCAAGCAAACAAAAAAGTTGTACAATTTTGATGATGACACTAGCCAGTTCACAATATATGCCTTCCAACTAAAGTTCACTCTTGTAGTTTAGAAAAATCATACTTTTTTTTTTTTTTTTAACATCCATAGAAAAAGAAAAGACAATTAATTATCTGATGTTGTCTGGTGGGACCAAGATAGTATGAGGTGGCAGCTATGAAGAGCCAAAGTAGAGACAATCAAATGGCCCAGATCCTGGCAGAAAAAAATGGAAAAGAGCAATAAGATAGAGCTTTACCCTTCCCCTAAGTGCCTTGAGCATAACTGAAGATGTGATTTCTGTCTACCTATGACATCCACCTACATCACCTGGTTCATAGAAACCTATGCTTTAGAGGTCTTTAAAATAAAATACAAATCAATAGTTATAAATAATTATATATATATACAAGGAGCATTCTGGCTGTACTTCTTCCAGGACAGATTTGCTTGTCCTTCTGGCAGTCCATGGGACTTGCAGTATTCTTTGCCAACACCACAACTCAAAAGTATCAACTCTTTTTTGGTCTTCTTTATTCACTGTCCAGCTTTCACATGCTTATGAGGCAACTGAAAATACCCTGGGTTGGGTTAGGCATACCTTAGTCTTTAAAGAGACATCTTTGCTCTTCACATAACACAACTGACAGTGCCAGGTTTTTTGGTTAGTAGTTGAGCTCTTAACCCTTGCAGCACCATATTGGTGTTGTTGTTATGTGCCATCAAGTCGGCCCCGACTCATAGCGACCCCTCCTTGGGTTTCCGAGGCAGTATCACTATGGAAGTAGATTGTCCAACCTTCCTTCCGAGGAGTGGCTGGTGGGTTTGAACCAGCAGCTTTCTGGTTAGCAGTCAAGTGTCTTAGGCACTAATGCTACCAGAGCTCCCATGCAGCACCAAGGCTTCATAAATATACATATATACCGATAGATAGATAGGTGCTTACCTGTGTTTTATTGACTATACCAAGGAATTAAATTGTGGGGATCATAACAAATTATGGATAACATTGCCAAGAATGGGAATTCCAGAACACTTAATTGCGCTCATGAGGAACCTGTACACAGAACAAGAGGCAGTTGTTCAGACAGAACAAGGGAATACTATGTGGTTTAAAATCAGGAAAGATATGCATCAGGGTTGGAAGCTTTCACCATACTTATTCAATCTGTATGCTGAGCAAATAATCCAAGAGGTTAGACTATATGAAGAAGAATGCAGTATCAGGTTTGGAAGAAGACTCATCAACAAATTGTAATATGCAGATGATACAACTTTGCTTGCTGAAGGTGAAGAAGACTTTAAGCATTTACTAGTGAAGATCAAATATGATAGCCTTCAGTGTGGAATACACCTCAACATAAAGAAAATACAAAAATCCTTACAAGTGGACCAATATGCAACATCATTACAAATGGAGAAAAGATTGAAGTTGGCAAGGATTTCATTTTACTTGGATCCACGAACAGTGCCCATGGAAGCAGCAATCAAGAAAACAAATGACATATTGCATTGGGCAAATCTACTGCAAAAGACCTCTTTAAAGTATCAAAAAGCAAAAGTGTCACTTTGAAGACTAAGATGTGCCTGATCCAAGCCATGGTATTTTCAATCACCTCATATGCACACAAAAGCTATATAATGAATAAGGAAGACTGAAGAAGAAGTGATGCCTTTGAATTATGGTGTTGGTGAAGAAAATGAGATATGTCATGGTCTATGAGAAGAACAAACAGATTCATTTTGGAAGAAGTACAGCCAGAAAGCTCCTTAGAAGCAAGGATGGTGAAACTACATCTCACATACTTTGGACATGATAAGGAGGGACAAGTCCTTGTAGAAGGGCATCATCATTGGTAAAGTAGAGGGTCAGTGAAAAAGAGGAAGACCTTCAATGAGATGGATTGACACAGTGGTTGTGGAGATGGCACAGTACTAGGCAATGTTTAATTTTGTTGTATATAGGGTCACTCAGTATGGTCATAACTGACTTGATGGCACCTAACAATAACAACAATCATATACATGTGTGTGTGTGCATGTATATGTGAAAGTATATATGTGTTTATAAATGTGTGAAAAAAAATATAAATGTATGCATGTGTATAGCATAAAAGAAATGGAAAGTATAAATGCTCAGATCAGGATAAAACTTTTAAGGAATTTCATAGCCCTAAAATTTTAAGGGTCCCTGGTTGGTACAAATGGTTTACACTCAACTTCTGACCTACAGGTTGGTAGTTCAAACACTTACTGGTTCCAGGAAAGATAGTCTTGCTATTTGATTCTGTTAATATTACAGCTAAGATAACCTATGGAGCAGTTCTACTGTGTAACATGTGGGGTTACTATGAGTCAAAATTGACTCAATGGCAACTAACAATAACAACAGAATTTTCAGGGTTATAGAAAGAATTTCAAAAACACAGGCAAATATACCCTATGGTTCTTTTTAATATGGTTCTGTATAATACAGTTACTAAAAACCCAAAAAATACAGTTATTAAAGAAAACTAAGAGCTCTGGTAGTGTAGTGCCTAAGGCATTTGACTACTAACCAGAAGGCTGGCAGTTCAAACCCAGCAGCTATCCTCGGAAGGAAGGTTGGGCAATCTACTTCTGTAGTGATACTGCATTGGAAACCCAAGGACAGGTCGCTATAGGTAGGATCCAACTCGATGGCAGTGAGTTTTTTTTTTTTTTTTAAGAAAACTAAATGTCTAAATTCAATATTCTACAGAAAATTAAATACTTGTGCTCAGACATATAAGGTTACACTGTTTTTAAGGACATTCTTTTTTCTTATTCTGTAATAAAGTTTATTCAATTCTATTCAAGATAGAAGATTTATAAAAAATAATACTTTACAACAGCTGACTGTAAAGTACTTGCATTATATTTAAGTGACAATAAAAAAGGAAGTATGCATTATTGGTAATATTGTTGATACTTAACAGGAAAATAGGCTGAAGGAGTAACTTTTTGGGAAATGTCAGAAAACTGGCATATTCTTTTGGCTATTATAAGAATTCAAATGTAACATAAGAAGGCTGAATCAATAAATGACTGAGTCAGGAAATAATGAATTTCTATCTTTTTATGAACACCATTTACATACTTTGCTATTTTTTTTTTTTTTTTTTTGTAAGCATCTAAGAACTCCCTTGTTGCTAAAGAAGAACAAATCATTTTCAGAGACTGTGCTGAAGCATTCAAATCAGGACGTACAACTAATGGGATCTACACATTAACATTTCCCAATTCTACAAAAGAGATAAAGGTAAGGTATTTGTCTCCCATTTTTAACTCCCCTGACTGTATTCAGGCCATTGTAGAAGCAAAGGAACTTACAAAGCATAACTAACACACCACAGATCTTGCCCCAACTTCACTTAATGAAAGCAACAAACACATAATGAATGTCTACCCCACATAAGTATTTTCTAAGGGTTCTAAGTTCAATTTTTGTGTATAGAACAGGAGCTCTGCTGATGTAGTTGTTAAGGCATTTAGCTGCTAATCAAAAGGTTTGTGGTTCAAACCCACCAGCTTCTCCTCACAAGAAAGATGAGGCAGTCTGTTTCCATAATGATTTGCAGCCTTGGAAATCCAATGGGGGTCGTTATGAGTTGAAATTGACTTGATGGCAGTGACTTTGATTTTTTGTATTAATGATATAGAAATATTGATCCTGTATTTCACAGGAAATACATTCTCCTTGCATTTTGTTTTCCTTGAAGTGCCAGACTCATTCATTAATTTTAAAGAAAATATCTTCTAATATTCAAATTTCAATAACTATAGTTTGCCTGTCAATTGTTCTTTCAAGTAACAGTGGTATTCTGTGAAAAACATAAAATAAAAATGACTAGTTCATCTTACAACTAAAATAATCATACGGGAGTTTTTCCTTGCAACAACCACTGGACTTTGGTATACAGAAGTGATTTATACATAATCCCTAACTCATTACATAGACTATTAAAAAGTCATGTATTCAACTAAAGAGGCTTAACAAGAATGATCATTTTTCATGCTTTATCAATGACATCCCTAAGTGAAATTGGCCTATTAAAAATTTTTTTTTTTTTAAATTGTGAGTTTGTAACTGCGAAGAATATAAGGACTACTGATATAGTTTGATACATGGCATTGGTTCATACTAGGGCACTAACAGTTTTATCCACCTTTGCTTTTATACCATCAATGCAAATGTCAAGACAAGGCCACAGGCCAATGATTTCTTAGTGTCTTCTGAAAATAGTTTTGATCTTGTGGCCTTAATGGAAGGGTCTCAGGGACCTCACAAGTCCGTAGGCCAAACTATGAGAACTGCTGGTGTTGATACTCTTGACTTTATCTAACATAGTCTGAAAGACTTAACATATGATATCAAAGACAAGGAGTTTATGTCAAGTTGTACGTTCAGTTAACTGCATGGAAAGTGAATGAGCAACCAGAACTTACCAGGAGAAACTACTATATAGCTTAACTCAATTATTACCAGCTATTCTAGATTTCTCAAGAAATATTTCTCTAGAAGTTGCTTTTATGAGACATTGAGTTCCAGATAAGGAAAAAAAAAAAAAAAAAACACTCTTTTAGAGAATATTTCAGTGTGGGTTCTCTTCAGAGGTTTGATAAAAGAATATTATAGGAAATCCATTATGAAATGTTAAAATAAATATAGAATGACAGTATATATTTCTGCCAACGACTTGTTCATTGCAAACACCTTTTCTCAACAACACAAACGGAGGCTGTACACGTGGACTTCACCAGATGGAACACACAGGAATCAGATTGACTACAT